TCTCAGCTTTTGACATGCTTTCCTCACTAAGCTTAATTATTTCTAACTTTTGAGATACGTGCGACTTTTCCTTTCACTTGCACATTTAGATGCCTTTGCAGGGTTACTAATCAGCCTAATTTCAATATTGTTGTGTCTCAGGGAATAGGAAAGCTCGAGGAGAGGGAGAGGGATGGAGGAACGGCCAGACGGTGGAGCAGTCAGAACACACAGAACTTACTGATTAAGTTTACCATCTTATATGGATGTGGTTTGTGGTGCCCCAAAAGAATTATAACGTCAGAGATTACTGATCACAGATCACCATACCAGATATAATAGTAATGAAAAACTTTGAAATATTGCCAGAATTACCAAAATGTGATATAGAGACATGAAATGAGCACATGCTATTAGAAAAATGGTGCCAGTAGACTTGCTTGAAGCACGGTTGCCACAAACCTTCAATGTATAAAAAATGCAATACGTGTATCTGCAAAGTGTAATAAAGTGAAGCTCAATAAAACGAGCTATGCCTGTAGGTGGTCACATATAGAAATAGTGTAAGTATATGGAAAGATTCCTACTATCTTTGAGTTCCATTTTTCCACAAACTTTTTGAAGTACTCTCATACATCCTTGCTCTGTCATCTGAGAAGGCCTAGAAGGCCTTCTAGAGGCTTCTGCAACAACACCCTAGTAGCAAGGAGCACACCTAGCACCCAGATCTTGGTTTCTAATGCTATTCTCCAATAAAAGGAACTAAGCAGGGCTCCTTAGTAGGAAAAATGGCTGATTCTAGGATAGAGACAAGAAAAATACAAAATGATCCTGAAGCAACAGTGTAGTGCCAGAAAGTAAGAAAGTGCTCAAAGCAGAATGAAACAAATGAACAAAAATCCATAATGATGTCAAATGGATACAAGAGCCAATGGAAAGATCTCCTAATGGCCAAAGCTGAGTAACAAAACAATGCAAACGAATGAAGTAGCTCTGGCTTATAAAGCAAAGTATAAAATAAATATCCATGAGTTCATACTAATAAATTTTTAAAAACTGACAAATATCCTGTGCAGGAGAAGTTCAAATAATTTATGTAGACACTCTATCTCTAAAGAAGTGGCGCATAACTCCCATTCTTTAAGTGTATAGTGACATTCTTCCAAAGGGTACAATATGAAAAGGAGAAATAAAGAGGAACCTTACAGTGGAGAAGCAAGTGATCGGGGTTAGCACTAACAGTGGTAATTCATATTGACAGTATGTACCACTGATATGACATGATGAAAATGGCACTTTCCCTCTGGTCTTCTTTCCAAGGGCAGATTACCTCAGTCTCATCATGAGATAAACACCACAAAATCCCAATTGAAGGGCATTCTACAAAATACCTGACAAATAATCCTCAAAACAGTCAAGATCATAAGAAACAATAAGGCCTAAGAAACTGTCACAACCAAGAAGAGCCTAAGGAGACATGATGAGTAATTGAAATTCAGCATCCTGGATGAGATTCTGGAACAGAAAAAGGATGTTAGGGAAAAAACTGAGGTAATCTGAATAACGTATGGATTTTAGTTAACAAAAATGTATCAGTGTTGATTCATTAATTGTGACAGATGTATCACACTAATTTGTTATTATCATTGTATTTTTTGGTGGCTGGCTTGTACTAACCTAAGATGTTCATAGGGAAAATTGGGTGTCTGGTACATGAGAACTCTGCAATAATCCTGCAAATCTAAAACTGTTCTAAAATAGTTCATTAAAAAAACCAAAACACACACCTATAGGGAGCCAATAAATAGATTCCCATAGGTGAGTTACATTATTTCTTTGTAGTACTCTCTGAAATTGTCCTTTTGAAAAAACACATTTAAATTTCTAAACTCTTTGAAAGTTGCAGTGCAGATTGCTTGTAGACATTAAGGTGGCATCCTGCAAAAAAAAAAAAAAACCTCACGGAGGGAGATAGTTGAGAGAAGAGGGGTGTAGTATTCTCATGGATCTCTGAGGTTTTGGAGGACTGTCCCCCAGACTACCTTAAATCTTGGCAGTGTCTTGGGAGGCACTGGTTCTCTTCCAGGGACCTCCCACACTCCTGTGGTTGAACTACTTCCGCCACCAAGGCAGTTACACCCTTTTAGGCAAAGGACTGTGACAAGGATCTAAGTGTGCTAGTTTTCTATTGTCGCATTGTAACAGATTATCACAAACTTAAAAAGGTATTATCTCACTGAATGTTTTCAAAACACCTGTCTGACATATTCCTGTTATTGTCATTTTTATAGATGGTAACCTATGTGGGTTGACATAGTACTCAAAGACAGACAGTTTCCAAGTACAGCCTCCAGAGATGGCCACCATGTTAGCCTTGCACTGCTTTCTCCAAGATTGTTATTTCAGGGAGAAATAAACATTTTTGCTTAGGTCACTATTATATGGGATCTTTGTTAGAGCAACTGAAGCTATGTCCTAACTAATACAGCTCCCAAATAAAGTAATTTTCCAAATTCTATTATTTCTACCTCTGTAACATCTTCCCTACCCATTCATTGTCTCCATTCCCACTGTTATTCCACTAATTCCTTTTTCTCTGTTACCAAAAGAGCCTCCTAACTGAGCTGGTCTCTAATTCAGTAATTCCCAAGGTGATTGTGCCTCCCAGGGGATTTTTGGCAGTGTTATGACACATCTTCGATTCTTACAACTGAGGAGGGAGAGGGTCCTACTGGCATTTTGTGGATAGAGACTAGGGATGCTGCTAAACATCCTATGACGTACAAAACAATCGCCCACAACAAAGATTTATGTGACCCAAAACGTTGCTATTGCCAAGGTGGAGAAACCCTGATCTAATCTATCCCTGACATTCTACCAATGATAGATTTGAATTTCAGATCTCAGAATGTCACTAGAGGTCACCTGTCAGATCATGGCTTCCTATCATCTTTTGAATAGCCTTCTCTGTATTTGGGAAAATTCCAATATTATGAGTCTTGTTTCCCTAAGAAAGGAGTTCAGACACCAATCTCCCTTCTCCTGTGTAGCCAGGACTCAGGTATGGGACCTAGACTCCCTCAATCAGATGTTCTCTACGAGCCTTTGATTTGGAAGTGAGCAAGGTGAGGAAACAGTCTCTTTCAGAAGTTTGGTATTTTGCTGGTGCAGAAGGCTGCAAAAACATGTGGCATTTAATTGTAGCAGTGGCAGTGGCATCCATTCCCCAGAGGTTCTTGGCAGCAGTGACAGCAGTTTCCTCCAGCGTGGGGTGGGGTGGCTGCAGCAATCCCAGTCATGATAGATTCCTCATCAGGCCAGTTCTACAGCATGGTTCTGAGCTTCATTCTTGGAAGCTTAGCCTGAGGCCACTTCTCCAGTCCTGCCTAGTATTCCCTGAGCTAAACAGTATCCTCTTAATACACTCCTTTTCTACCTAGTCAGCCACAGCCAGCTTCTATCACTCAGAACTAAGAAACTTAACAGTAAAGACTCCCCTGCTTAAAAGTTTCCAGTGGCTTCTCATACATTTTAGAATGTTCCAAACCCTTTGCTTAGCCCAAGGCTCTTCTTTATCTGGGATGTACACACTCTGTCCCTCACTCTGCTCATAGAGAGTCATCCTGGTCTGCCACCCTTCCTCAATCCCATATTGTTCTCTGCTAAAGAATCCTACTGGCACAGCCTCCTCTACATATCTTCCATGTACCCCAGTCCCCAGGTGTGTGCTTATCTCTATCATGAGTAACTTTTTACACTTTACTGCAAGGGTTGATTCGCTTACTGTAAATTCTGCATGGGCAGGAACATGTCTTTTTGGTCTTAAGTCTCCAGCACTTAGGATAACATCTATCACAAAGTAGGCAATCAATACATGTTTATTAAAGGTATGAAAGGCAGGACATGGACAAGTGTTGCCACCTATTGGGAGAAACTTTACTCAACTCTTACAATGCTTTGCTCTCCCCATACAAGGATGAAACTTGATGACACTCCTACTCTCTCCACCTAAGTTATCATTATTGTCAGGTCCTCTTTAATAGCCAGTCTTCAGGATAGCCCCCCAATGATTCCTGTCTACTAGTATTCATGCTTTTGGGTTGACCTCCCCCATGGAAGGGTTGGTTGGTGACCAACGGAATATGGCAGAAGTAATGGTACACGACTTCTGAGGCTAGATCATAAAAGACATTGTGGCTTTTGTCTCAGTCTCTTGGATCACTTGCTCTGAAGGAAGCCAGCTGCCACGTCATGGGGACACTCAAGCAGCCATTTGGGGGAAGTTCATGTGGTGAAAAGCTGAAGCCTCCTGCCAAGAGTTATGTGAGGGAGCCCTCCCTGGAGCCGATCCTCCAGCCCCAGTCAAAACTTCAGATGACTGCACCCCTGGCCTGCTTCTTCACTATAATCCCCTCAGAGACCCTCACGTAGAAAAACCAGCTGCGCCACCCCCAAATTTCTGACCTACAGAAGCTGTGGGACCACAAATATGTGCAGCTTTAAGATGTTAAGCTTCGGGCTGATGGTTATGCAGCAATAGGTTACTAATACACTGACCCACACAGATCACCTACTAGAAGCTGTTTTACATTTTGCTGTAAAAGCAGAAAACTACCGGACCCTGAACTTAACCTAAGGGTTCTCACAGCCGATACCGCTGGAGCTAGGCGCCACGGAAGAAATGGGGAATGACGAGTTGTACTCGTACTGCCCGCAGCATCCCCTTCAGCGCTAACGTTGTTCCAGGCACAGCCACCCGCCCCCGCAGAAGAGCACGACCCATGTGCTCGGCAGCAGCCTCGGCGTCTGCGCAGTGCGCTCCTCGCGCTCCCAGGCAGCGCCGTTGTGCGCCGAGTCATCGATCGGAAGGCCTCCTCGAGAAAGCGGCGGAGCTCGTCGCCGGCCGCCAGCCGCCGGCTCGCGGGGTGGGCTCCAGGGGGCGCCCTCACGAGAGGGGCGGAGCGCTCCTGTTCCAGAGACAGGCCGGCAGGGCGGCGTCGGTACCGGGGCCTGTCCCCCAGTACACCTCCGCACCCCCACAGCTCTTGTAGTCGTCGCTCCGGCGTCGTCGCCGGGTCCAGGCCCCTCGGCCTTCCGGCCGCCGCCGAAATGAAGCTGCGGGTGCGGCTTCAGAAGCGGACCTGGCCGCTGGAGATGCCGGAAGCGGAGCCGACGCTGGGGCAGCTGCGCGCGCACCTGAGCCGGGCCCTGCTGCCCACCTGGGGCTACAGGTAGGCGGGGGTCTCGGCGGGGGTCTGCGTGCGACTCTGGGCTAGTGGGAGGAGCGCGTCCGTGTGAGAGGCGGCGCCGTGCGGTTGGGGGTCGTCTGTGTCACTGCGGTGCGCGGGCGTGGCCGGGTGCGGGGACGCCCCGGGGCGTCACATGAGGCCAGGCGCTCCGGGGGTGTCGCCGGGCCAGGACAGCGGTGACTGTGACGCGCGGGGTGGTGAGCGGGGCGCTGGGCTGCTGCTCGCTGGGGTCCCGGCTCCGGGAGAACATGGCCCGGCCTCCCGGGGGCTCCGTGCCCGTCCCGGGTGAGTAATCGTTTCCGTTTTTGCAGTAAACGAAACCAGGGAGAGGAGAGAATGCAGAATCCACACGACTTGCTAAATTTCAAGTTGGAAATTAGGAGCTTCAGGGGTTTAAGGTCACTTTCTTCCTCTGTTGGGGTATTTCAGTGAACAGGTTTGGGAAATACCAGAAGTTAAGAATGTGTCCTCTCTCCGAGGGCACCTATAACTGGTCCTGCTGCGCTAAAGCAAAAATGATTTTAAGACGATGTTGAGTGTTCATGTGGCAGGCACCGCTGCGTGAAAGTGAGCACTTTGACTTACCCACTGCAAAGTTTTAGGAAGGAGGAGGTGTGGGCGTGTTTCAGATCATTCGATTTTCCTGGGCGAGGTATTGCTTTTTTGCTAAAACGGAGGTAAACCTTGGCCCTATGATGACTCTGGAGAGTTCGCAATTTGGGGGCAGTGAAGTTGAGAAAGAATCAAGTTCTGTAATTAATTTGTAGGGCTGCAGATGAAGCTGCTTTGTTTCCCCAGAAGATATTTTCTGGGGACAATAATCAGAGAGTAGAGGGACAGTGTAAGAGCGGTCCTCTTCAAATATACTGAGCTAGTGAATTCGAAATTTATGACTGTGCTAAGAAAAAACAAAAAGGTGTTTCCTGGGGCTTTTCAGGTAAATTCTTAAAAAGAAAAGAAAATTGGCTCCTTTTATAAGCTTTCACTTTATTTTTAGGGAATTCAGTAAAATAAAGCCATATTATGAACCTCTCACCCTTTCAGTTTTAGGTTAAGACATTATTAGATTAAAAGTAAGTCTGTTTTCCTCCAGATTAAAAAACAAAGACAAGATATTGACCTAACTCCTTTACATGTTAGTGACATACCTGTTATTTCTTGGTGTTAAACCTAAGTGTTTTGCATGCTGCTGTCATTACCCCACCATAAATTTTCAAAATTAACTTCTCTTTTTAAGGTGTTTCCATATGTATGTATATACATTTTATTAATATTTTTTATTTAGGCAGGAGAGTCTTGGAAGGATGTGAAACTCAATGTGACGTTTGTTTACCCAAGAGCCCAATTTAGTTTCTCTTTCAGGTTTGTTTTTACAGTTGAGTCTGGTTAACTGGAAGGAATTTAAGATTCAGCTTGTGAAAGTGAATTTATTCTTTTGAAAATATGTTCATTTTATAATAAATGAGCAGTTTTAAAATGTGTCCATATGACATTGTTATTTTTAAAGTGTTTTTACTGAGCAAGTGGATCTGGAATTGCCATAAAATATCTTTAAAAAGCCTGGAGTTTCTAGGATTTCATTTCCTGGTGAATTTAAATCCATTCCCTCCCCTCCTCCCCCAGTTTTAGAAAATAGAACCTTGGAAAACTACATATTACTTTAGAAATAGCTCTTCTCTTTTTTCTAAAGTGGAAGGGAAAGCTGACATTTTTTATTAAGCAGATTGTTCTTTACCTTTATACAAACAGATGTTTGAGCATACATTGTACTAGATATTGTTTTTAAAAACAACCTTTTGCTGTGATGAATGATCCATAAATGCATAGCTCATTTGAAATGCTTTTCCTTTTCCTGCCAAAGTTGAGATGGTGTTTTTATGGGCAGCTGGCAGAATTTCAACATTTTGTTTATCAAAGCATTTTGAAAACAGAAGTACAGCCATTTCATTTCCAATAAGCAGAGTAGTTTTTACTTCAGTAATTTTTTTTTTCCCAAAAACACTTCACTTGGTAAGCAAATTGTATTTATGTGTGAGATAAAAACGAGTTATTCTGAGCACTTTTCAAAATGCAGCATTGTAAGAAAAAATAAACAGGCCACGATTTTCAAAGGACTTCAACTTTTGTTAACCTCTCAAAAAGTTAATAAAGTCAGCATTACTGAGTGTAAATGTCTTACAAAATGTTTTACAATGACTTAATTATTCTTCACTGCTGTGTGATGAAAAATGATGGTTATTCTCACAAAGTCAGATAATCTGTGATTCAGAAAGAATGGCTTCAGTCAGGCTTATTAGAGCTCTTAGCTTGTTTGGCAGTGGATTTTTGTATTTGTGCTGTCTTCCATATAAAAGACATAACTGGTCGTCAGTAGGCAGGGTGAACTTGTACTTGTCATCATCAATAAGAGGGATGAATTTTGTACTCAGTCATCTAATCTAACTTTTTCTGATTGAGAACATGCATTTAGGTATTTGGGAGCCAATGTAATCAAACTGTCCTGTAAGACACTGAATAGGCAGACCTGATTTCACATTCATCTTTTTTTTTTTTTCCCTTTTTTTTGTCTTTTTTTTCGTGACTGGCAACGGATCGCAACCCTCAGTGTCGCGCCCGTACCGGACCGGGACCGGCAACGGGATCGCAACCCTCGGTGTTGCACCCGCACCTCGCTCAGCCAGTGAGCCGCCAGTCTGCATGTGGGATCCGAACCCTCGGCGGGAGCGCCGCCGCGCTCCCAAGCGGTGCACTGTAGCAGTGCGCCACCGGGCCGGCCCTTCATCTTGATCTTCCTAACTGTTTGGTGATTACATTTATTCCACACATCTCTAGTTCAACCCTGTCGTTTTACAGAAGAGGAAAATGTTGTTTCTCTTCCTGTACCTAGTTTTCAAGGCTTTCTCATAAGTTGCCCCACCCAACCTTTCCAGGGCTAGTTTCTGTTCTTTCCTCCTATAAACTGTCATCTTCAGACTCCTCATTTCCCCTCTGCCAGCCAACACATGCACGTGCTCATGTGTGCACACACACAACTTGGTGCCTGCTTCCCTTATTACTTTATTTGTGGAGTGCTAGAGAGATATGGTTTCGAACTGGATAGACAAGATCTCGGATCTTAGGAAACTTAAGCTCATAAAGGTGGGGAAGACAAGATAATAGACAAATAAGTTGATGTTTTCAAATTGTGACGTGACAGTAAAAATAAAACAGAACAGAATAGGGTGGTGCAGGCTGGATGGAAGGCATATTTAAAGAGGTGATGTTTGAGCTGAGACCTGCATGATGAGGAAGAGTCAGTCATTTGATGTGGAAGAGCAAATGCAGAGGCCCAAAGGCTGCAGTGAGGTTGCTCTGCTTTTCAGAGTGGATGGAAAGCTTGTGTGAGTAGAGAACAGTGAGCTAGAGGATGGATGGCACAAAATAATGGGCTTTGGAGGCCATGTTAAAGATTCTAGTCCAAGTTCAGATAGAAGCCACTGGTTTTAAGCAGACCTAATTTATATTTTAAAAAGAGTATTTCATTGAATCTGAGTTGCTGTTAATTGTAATACATTGCTTTATAGCACTCTAAGGGAAAACATGCTGTTTATTAAACTGATAGGTCATTGATTTTAAGAAGCATCCCAATTTCAAAGATGTCAAAATATTAAAAAGTATATATCTCAGAACTGAAGAAAACATGGATTAATGATAGAGAATTACTGTATCTTATTTCCAGCCTAGAGTTTTAGCCATTAGAAACCTATTACCTAGGCATTCAGTGATAAAAACAAATAATTTTGATAATTTACTCAAAATTTTGGCCTTTTTACTTAGGTCTTCTAGGGTCATACCATGCACCTTATATATATATTCCAAATGTATTATTGAGAGTAATGAGAATAGTTAGCTCTTACTATCCTTATCCATCTTTCTTGGCAGTTCTGATACTCGATTTGCAATTACATTGAACAACAAGGATGCCCTCACTGGAGATGAAGAGACCTTGGCTTCCTATGGGATTGTTTCTGGGGACTTGATATGTTTGATTCTTGAAGATACCATTCCAGCACCTAATTTACCTTCATCCACAGATTCAGAGCATTCCTCACTCCAGAGTAATGAACAACCCTCTTTGGCCGCCAGCTCCAATCAGGCCCACACACCAGATGAACAACTGAGTGATTCACTCCAAGGACAGGCAGCCCAAACTGATGTCTGGAATGATGACAGTATGGTGGGTATTAAAGAATGAGATATGAAATACAGTAGTTGATAACTCATATTGAACACCTCAGTTGAATTCTGTACTAGTCAGGATAATTGTCATCAGTAGATTGCAGATTATATTCTGATAGCACATTTTTATTTTAACTGCTAAATGCCTGGGTGAACATTGGGCTGGCATTCAGAAGTAGTTATGCCTATTTATTTTGTTCAGACACTGATTCTAAGCTCATGATTCCCAGCGTTACTTCTCTGGTCTACTGTACTCACTAAGGCTATATATGTAGTACAGTTATTTCCAAATTACTTGTAAGACATTTATACCTAAATTTTTAAATTGTCATCGCAAACCCTATATGTCCAACATAATCTGGAACTATGTGCGCTGATGTTCTCTTCTTCCCAAACCAGCTACCCTTCTCAGTCTGTTAGTGACATTCTGTTGTACACTCCTGTGATTTTTGAGTCCTTACATCCAACCCATTAACAAGGCTTGTCAGTTTTTCTTTTCCACTTCAGGCTTCCAGTGTCTCTGTTCTTCAGCCTGCTTTCTAGGTTTGTCTTCTTCCCACACATTTTTGATTTTGTTGTTCCTGATATACCTTTGCTTATAATTTTTGAGCTGAAAAAGACCAAATGACTCTAGTTCAATCCTGTTGATTTACAGAAGAGGAAAATATCTATCCTCCTGTACCTAGATTTCAAGACTTTTTGAAGACTTGCCCTGCCCAGCCTTTCCAGGGCTAGTTTCTTTTCTTCCCTCCTGTAAACTATCATCTCCAGTCAGGCCAGACTCCTTATCATTTTCTCTCTGCCAGCCAGCACATGCACGTGTTCATGTGCACATACACACACACACACACACACACACACAGCCTGGTGACTGCTTCCATGCTTTTGCTGCTCACCCAGACTGTAAGCCACTACCTTTCCTCCCTCTCCTATCTTTCTTTCTACCTATTTCCAAGGCCCTTGCCAACCATAGCCCTATAATTTCTTTGTATTGATTATCTTTATTGCCTTGTAAACACCTCATTATTTGTTATCTTGCCTTTTAATTTCTATCTCTGTATGTTTCTGCCTCATAGAGGTAATCTGGAGAATGAATGAGAATTTTAGTCATATATTTAAATTACATATCTGAGTAATTTTTGCTGATGGACTCATTCCATGATAACTTTGGTAGAAGAGCCCATTCCTTTTACTTCTGTGTAATATTAGAATTATCCAATAATATGAAGCTTTTCATAGTATATGTGTTAGTTATTTTACTAGTTTTCTTTTGGAAAATTTTGAGAACTTAACATTTCCTCAAGTTAATAATTTCAGTTCTAAAAGTATATTGCTTTGTATTCTAAGATTTGTGCAGGGTGACTGTAGAATCTTTGTGTGGAAACCGAACTTGAAATCTCATAAAAATAATACTTTAAGTACTTGAAATGTATGATCTGCTAATTGATGTAGGATGGAGCCTTAGAAAAGGAAAACAGATTGGTAAAACTTGAAATCATGAGATAAATTTTACACTTGTGATTATAAATTAATTTTCTTACTTCAGTGTATTTGGGAATTCATCTAATACCTGTTGAGTCTTTAATGAGAAACAAGGATAATGTGTATCAGATCCTAATATTAGCTCTCATGCTAGTATTAGTCTTTTAGTTACTGTTTCAGTTTTTTGTAAATGACAGATGGCAAAATGATATGTTTAGAGAAGTAGTGCTCAGCATTTTTTTTCATTTATACACATGTGAAGAATATGATAAATATTCATATCAGAGCAGCTCAGAATGCCAGTGTTTCTCAGTGAGTACGAGTAAGGTTTGACAAGCCCACCAGGGGATTCCGATATCTCTGTCCCATGTAATTTTCAGCTTAGGTTAACCTTATTTTGTTTTCCCACATATATTCTGTCCCACACAACTGTCAGTAAGTAGTAAATGGCTTAAAGTTAGGCATAATGGTAAAGAAGCAAAGAGCCTATATTTCATAATATAGCTCAGTGTTAAGTGGTTTTTAATATGGTGGTTTCTGTTTGCTCAGAAAAATCGTGAATGGTTTTGTGCCATACCTCCTTTTTAGGTAGTGTGAATTGTCACTGGCCTCTAGATTTTAACAAGTGAATATGGATCTTTCCATAAGCCATCTGGGCTTAGGTTCTCAGAGGTTTTGGAAGAACAGCTCCGGCTCCCTTGTGTTGGTCCAACCTTTCACTTTTACTATGTATTTTTAATTTTCTCTGTCTGTTCTTTAGTCGAAATACAAACTTAAAAAAGAGGAAACGTGTGCTTTTCATTAAGACTTCAGCACATGCCTAGGAAACGAGCTTTCTGAGCAAAATCTGTATAGGTAACTTTGTTTTACTGAAGCAGGGTATTAAATCTAAAAGCCCTGAACTTTGAGTCTGGAGATCTTGGTTCATTTCACATTTTTATTAGCTGGTAACCTTGATTGCATTATTTAATCTTCCTGAGTTATAATTATAGCATCTATATAAAAAGGTGACACCGTTTGCCTTGCCTGTTTTATAGGATTGTTGTAAGATGCGAATGAGAAAATGCTTTGAAAACAAAAACATTATGAAATTGTAAGGTACTATCCTTCAGCATGTAACAGTCATTTATTGAATACCTACTATGTACCAGTTACTGTGTTGCAGTTACAAAAATGGGTGACATGTAGTCTGGTCTTATAAGCTTGCAGTCAAGGTGGGATCAAATGTATAATCAGAAAATTATAATACAGTGTGATAAGGTGCAATAATCAGGGCCTTTGCAAGGCAGAGAGTGGTCTGTAACACCTCTTTTGAAGAAGTGGGGAGTACTGTGCTGGGTAGGAAGAGAGTGGCAGAAAGTGAACTTGATAAATAGTCAGGGATCAGGTGATGAAGGGAATTTCTTATGCTAAGAAATTTAGGAGTTTGCACTTAAATTTTATAGGCCTGCATTTCTCAGAGTGTCCTCTATGAAAAACTTGTTTCATGAGATTTTATTACAGGGATGCTGTGTGTTGAGGAAGGATAGTGTTTCTTGGTTAAATGTTATGCACACATTGTTAATATTCTTAGACCTCTGAGAGCTCTTCTAAAGCTAATAATGTATTTGGTGAATGTGGAGGGTGAGGTGTCTGTAGCAGGTAGCATTTCCCACAGTTCCTTGATTGTGGACCAACTTTTTTCCTAAAAACATCTAGGGCCACATTCTGGGGCACAACTGAGGGGAACACTGTTGTCTGTGTTGGGGAAATACTGATGAGTTTGAGCTGGGACGTAGGACATGACTGAATTCTTAATTGTTGAAAAACTGGCAGCAGTGGGTGTAATGTATCGGAAGACAAAGTTGAGGCAGAGATACTTGTAGGGGAGGCTTTTGCTGGAAGTCAGGAATAAATGATGAGACTCTCAAGTATGTATCCATGTAGTAGGAAGGGGCAGATTTTAGAGATATTTAGGAGTTAGCTTCAGTGAAACTTTGAAGACTGAACAGGTTTGATGTGGCTTTTAGTGAGGGAGAGGGAAGCATCTAGGATGATATCCAGGTTTTTGGCGTATTATCTAGAATTAATGGAGATAAGGAATTCAGGATGAAGGAGTAGGTTGAAGGCTTATTAATTTACGAGGGTTTGCTTAAAATGTCTCCCATTTCTGAACCAAATGATGTGATTTGGTTCTGAGCACTAATCTTAGTTCACTTTAGGATACAAAACGTACTGTGTAAAATGTTTTTTTAATGGGCCGGCCCGGTGGCGCACTGTGCTAGTGCGCCGCTTGGGAAGCGCGGCGGCGCTCCCGCCGAGGGTTCGGATCCCACATGCAGACCGGTTCCCGCTCACTGGCTGAGCGAGGCGCGGGGGCAACACCGAGGGTTGCGATCCCGTTGCCGGTCCCGGTCTGGTACGGGGGCGACACTGAGGGTTGCGATCCGTTGCCGGACACGGAAAAAAGACAAAAAAAAAAAAAAATTAAAATTAAAAAAAAAAAAAAAAAAATGTTTTTTTAATGAACTCATTGTTTTTATCCTCTTCAGTCAGGGCCTAATCACGGTTTTGAAGCTAAGTCCATTCAAGATGTTGTGGATATGGAAGAGGGCACAGGTTTCTATCTCTCAGAACCAATGCTCTGCAGTGAATCGGTGGAAGGGCAAGTGCCACATTCGTTAGAGACCCTGTATCAATCCTCTGACTGTTCTAATGCCAATGATGCCTTGATAGTATTGATACATCTTCTCATGTTGGAGTCAGGTTACAAACCTCAGGTAAGTAGTACAAGCAAAACCCAAACATCTTCTTAGAGTTAAGTTTCTCTTTGCAAAAAGGGGGTATATCAATAAGTATCACTAGGTTGTTGTGGTGGTCTGGGTTTCTTTATTAAATGTGGTTGGGTACTGAATGTAAAGTGCCAAACACAGTGATGGGCTATAGTAGACATTCAGTAAAGGTTTCCTTCCTTCTTTTCCTTCCTTTTTTTTCTCCTTCATTTTCTTCATCAGTTTTTAGTTGGTGTGACAGAAAATGATGGCAACTTGGTAAAAAAAAAAAAAAAAGACAAAAGATTATTTATTATAACATGTAGACAGAATGTGATTAATGAATGTGGATTGAGTATGACTAGATGGCTGGCTTACTAGGTTATTTTATATGATAATGGCCCTATGAAATGCCAGTAACTTGATTAGATTCAGTTGGGAAGAAGGGCATTGCTCTTACGCTGTCATTGCTTATCTTCATTCATTCATCGAATATTCATTTGAATTTGCATCCACCAATGTCAGGTACAGTGCTTTGTCCCTGCTCTCAGGTTGCTCATACATGTGAATGGTCCCTGCTCTCCAGTTGCCCATAGGCTGGGAGTGGCAGAGATAGGCAAGTATATAAACCATTATACTATATTGGTTAAGTTCTAGGAGAGGCATATACATATATAGGATGCCAGGGATTCACAGTGGAGAATATTTAGAATAGAGCTTCTTAAACTTTAATGTGCTTAGGCATTCCTAGGATCTTATTAAAATCCAGGTTCTGGTTTAGTAAATCTAGGATGGAGCCCAAGCTTTTGGGTACTCCTACACAATACTGATGCCGCTGGTCTGTGAGCCATGTTATGAGTTACAAAGATATAGAGTAATTCAGTGATCATTGTACACCTGCACCATGGCATGCATCGAGCCAAGAATTAGTCTATAAGAATATTGGGGCATTCCTTGTCCTGAAGGAGTCCATAAGTGGAGGAGAGAGACAAATAAGATAATTATAATGTATAAATAGCACAGATAAGCATAAATAGGTAAATAACATAATAATAATATGTAACAATAGAAGTATGAACAGAATGTTAGGGGAAAGAGGGAATGACAAAACAGGATTCTTTTTCTTGAGAAGGCTTTACAGAGGAAGTGCTGTTTGAGCTGGGGTATTCGTAATGATATGGCTTTGCTAGGCAGAGAAGTGAGTTTTTGAAGAGAGAAATCAATCCTTATTTCTATGATGCTACTTTACCTCTTTGAACAAAAATTTTGATAGAAAAATGTTACAATATATTATCCTCCATTAATAGCAATATTAATGATTTGACACATTTTATTAAGGGGACTATATAGACTGCTTATTTCTAAACAAGTTAGGGGCCTTTTAGATTTTTAGTGTTTTTGAGAGTAACACCTTTCTTCAATATCTTGTTTCTCTTTCATTTCATTCCCCAGGGGACCGAAGCCAAAGCAGTGTCCATGCCAGAGAGGTGGAAGTCGAGTGGTGTGTATAAGCTACAGTACACACATCCTCTCTGTGAGGGTGGCTCTGCTGCTCTCACCTGTTTGCCTTTGGGAAACCTCATCGTCGTCAATGGTAACTGGATAGCATAGTCATGGTCGCTGATCTATGAATACTTACATGTTTCTTTCCAGATGTTTCATAGCCACTTCAGTGATTGGCTAGCATAACAGAGTTTTGAGTTTTTCTCAACTTTATTTAATTCCTAGATCACTGGTAACATGTGTCTTAAGGATTATAGACTATGCCTGCAGCCTTCTCTTCTGGGGCAGCCATAATGTTGATGTCGTGACCTTTGTAATATTTTGCTCCACGGGGAGTTGTGGTAATAGGAGTGAAATGAGTCTATTACACATGAACTCTTTGAAGAGAACTTTTTCTTTCTTTATGTCTGTGGATGGCTTTATTTTTATTCTTTTAACAAAGGTCTTGAACTGAGAGATGGTGAGATTGAGCAGGGGTCACCATTTATCTAGTTTGGCATCTCTGAGACCAGCAATGCATGGACACACTGCTAAGGGTTCTGAGGCCTTAGTATGTATGTGTTTTACTTCCCCCTGTCCCTGAAAGTTAATCTGAATAGAGAGTTTCTTTTTCTATTTCCCCTCTTTGATATTAAGAAATTTCACTGGGATAGCAATACATTCCATCTTTGTATTTCATTTTAGCCCCGATGCCACTTGAGCCCATACCAGCTACCAGTATTCTATGAAATAGTCTCATAATCACACACATACTGGAGATCCATTTGAGTGATGGGGATCTTTCAGTTTTATTCTGTCTTGTTTTTTTGAGATTTATCCTATTAGCTAAGACAGTGTGATAAAACTGGGATGACTGCATTTTTGTTCTGTTTTCAATAAAGCTTATCTTTTATAGCAAAGGCAGTTGCTTTGATATGTCTTAGGTTGAGGTTTTCAACATGTTCTGCAGTGACTTGTTTCTGCTGAGGTGGAGGCAAGGTAGAACCCCTGTCACCACTTAAACCTTGTTTATCTGTTTCATTTATTGAGGTTCTGTGTAAGATTTTGTTTGAAAAAATGTATTTTCTGCTAATACTTACTTCGAAAGCTACTGACTTAATGCTGTCTGATCTTTGAAATGGAAGATAGTTATAGGTCTCCTCTTATGTAATATCTGCTGTTTCCTTTTAATCACCAGATTCTTTGAAATGTTATTCAAAATTTTTGATTTAACGGCTTTGGTGGTACTGCACATTTGCCAGGATGTGATTATCTGATGGCACAGCAGATAATCTAGCAATGTCTTTTCAGCAATTCACCACAATTAGCGATTGTAGCTTTGAGTTTGGCATTCTTATACACAGAATGTCAACAGTTTCTGCCTTTATCTAATCATTCTGCCACATAGCATCCTAACTTGCAAGGTTGATGTTACCAAGTAGTAAATGTGAGGTTGTAGTTTTTGCCTCAATTTCTTATAAAAAACACTTAACGACATGTGTATAATAACCTCTATTTACTAGTTTCAGGATTCTTAACATAAAGAGAATAGCTGCTTGATGTCTTGATGATTTCTTAGTTTCTGATGTTTTATTCCTTTCTATTCTTGGCACATTAGTTACTTGCAGATTTGCATGGCAGCCAGCTATTCCAGGCTTGATTCTTTGAAAAGGAGTAGTGTGTCCTTAAATCTTTCCTTCACCCAGGGCATCCTGCTTGGTCCACATGTGCATAACAAGCACATAATTGGTTCTTTCATGGAATGAGATAAACTGTGCTTTTGTATACATGATTAAAATTGAATTCTGATGGTGTCAAGAATATAGGTTCTTGGGGTCTGGAGAGAGATGATGGTGTAAAAACTAGCAGGATTCTTTTAATGAACAAGGGAAGACTCATTGCCAAAGGTTAAATAAAAAATAAATGGAGCTTTTAGTGACTTCATTAGAAATAATGATTTTATTGTGTTTAGTTGCCTTCTGTTAACCTTGTTGCATATCTTTCAATTACTAATAAGCTGCTGTTGGTAATACTTAGTGGATTTTATATAAAGATGCTTACTGTAGTTTTAGAAGGTATTTTAGAGTGATTTTAATTTGTCTGATGGCAGGTTTACACTTTTGACCTTGTGTGAGGGAAAGAAGTAGGCACAGAGCTGTTGGTTTTGTGTGTGTCCTTAGTATATTGGGAACAAGGAAATGGAAGCCTGTACTAAAAAAGGAAGGCAATTGAAGTGACAAAATTTTTTTTATCATCTTTCTTTTGCTTATTTACAGCTACACTAAAAATCAACAGTGAAATTAGAAGTGTGAAAAGATTGCAGCTGCTGCCAGAATCTTTTATTTGCAAAGATGAACTAGGTAATGTAACTATGATTTAATTTTGGGGGTGAAGCTTAGAGAGGTTCATTTAAAAAAAAAAGACAGAAACTGAAAGATAATGTTCAAAAGACTAAAAATTTCTAAATGAGAATAGAGCAAATTCAAGACAATGTCTCTTTAAGATTGCAAAGGTTTTGATTATAATTTGAGGAGTTTCCTGTTTTTCTTAGGGTCTTAGAGTGCTCAATTATATTTATACTGTTGTTATGAAATAACACTGGTATGTAATTCATCACACTCTGATGTTGCTTCATAGTTTCTGTATTACTTCTTAAAGATCTTTCTGTCATTGTATAACCAATATAGAGAGGATCTGTGTTTTGTGGAAGTAATGCAACTTAATTATTGAAGATTATTGGAGGAAAAACTGCACTCAAAATGTTTGTTTAAACCTATATAAATTTGACTGCTATTTGATGCAGATTGAAACTTTACCAAAAGTTTGTGTTCTCGACATGGTTTTGCTTATATTCCATCAAATAATTATTGTTATTTTTTGGCAGCTGGCTGGTACAGGGATCGAACCCTGTACCTTGGTATTATAAGCACCATTCTCTAACCAACTGAGCTAGCTGGCCAGCCCTTATATTCTATAAAATTATTAATAGATGCATAGAAGACAGGTTTTTAAAAATTGTTTTTAGTTAAACCCAAACTTTGAGAGGCAGATTGGTGGTTGAAAGAGAAGAGATGGGGTAGAGAGAGGAACTAATATCTTTCAAGTGCTTGTTTTGTGTTGGACATAGGCCTTTAAATATGTTACTCCATTTAATCCTCCTAGTAAACTTAAGAGGGTTTTAAGAGCCAACTGGGAGTGTTGTGGTACAGGGGGAGAGGCATTTTCAGCATGTCTTTTAGGGAAGGCAGGCTAGATGTAGATCGTTGTTTTGAAGGTGTAGAGGCTTATTAGTGTTAATTCCTATGGGAAATCAGGACCTGAAAGACTGATTTATACTAACTAAAACTGATAAGAAGAGGTGACAGAATACTTGTGCATATTTATAATGGTCTCTCATTGGACATAGAATCAGAACTTGGGCGTTAGTTGAATTGAACATTTAATATCAGATTAGATCAATGTTTCTCAATCTTTTCTTTGTTATTATCTCTTCCCCTAAGGAACCATTGTAGATTTTTTTTTTCCCTAATTGCTTTCCCCCATGACATTTTAATACCACAGATATGCTGTATATTTATTTATATACTGTGTCTCTTTGGAGGGTCACAAACCAGCGTAATAGCCAGGATTTTTTTTTTGCCCTCCAAGAATAGCTTTTGCCCCCATGGGGGTGATCATGCCCCTTTTGAGAATGTATGACCTAGACTGATGAATCTGTAAAGATAGTCTTAGCAGTAGAGTCAGAAAAACTTGAAGCTCTTTGGCTACAGCATTCTATATTCATCTCTATGCTAGGGAGGACCTTGCTATGGGGAGTAGAAATACTGTACATTCTGAAGTAGTAGGGTTTTTATGCCCATTTTATAGTTCAGGCAACAGGTGTAGAGGAGGTTAATTTGCTTCAGGGTCACAGAGCTAATAAATGATGGAATTTGGGATTGGACTACATTTGTCTGATTCCTAGCCTTTAAAAAACAGCTTTTATAGGGATGTAGCTCAGATTCCTATTATCTGTTTTTTCTTAAATAAGGAAAAAAGAAACGAAAGGAGAGGAAAAAATTAGTACTGTTTTAAGTTTATGGACTATTTCACTTAAGTATTTTTTTTTTTTTTTGACCAGTAAGGGGATCGCAACCCTCGGCTCGGTGTGGTCCGCACCACACTCAGCCAGTGAGCGCACCGGCCATTCCTATATAGGATCCGAACTTGTGGCCTTGGCGCTACCAGCGCTGCACTCTCCCAAGTGAGCCACGGGGCCGGCCCTCATTTAAGTATTTTTAATAAAGTACTTTTATGTTGGGTAGGCATGTGCTGTTCATTGGACAAGTTATTTGAATTGATTTTTACTGTGGCTTATAATATAGTACTGGTAACTATAACTGTGTACTGTTAATTATTCTTTCATTTATAAGTTCCTAATTAAATACTTATAGTTTCTAATTAAATATTTATATAAATTTATTTAAAGAAAATGAGTTTTCACACTTGAAAGAAGGCCTTGAACCAAATGATTTTTTAGAAATGATATATATATATATATATATATTTTTTTTTTAATTTATTTTTTCCCCTTTTTGTCCTTTTTCGTGTCCGGCAATGGATCGCAACCCTCAGTGTCGCGCCCGTACCAGACCGGGACCGGCAACGGGATCGCAACCCTCAGTGTTGCACCCGCACCTCGCTCAGCCAGTGAGCGGGAACCAGTCTGTATGTGGGATCCGAACCCTCGGCGGGAGCGCCGCCTCGCTCCCAAGCGGCGCACTGCAGCAGTGCGCCACTGGGCTGGCCCTAGAAATGATATATTAATGTTAGATTTCAATTCAAGATTGCAAGTTTACACAACAAAGATTTAGAGTTTATTTGTTTATCTCTCATGTTTTTATCAGTGAAGTTATAATGAGTGTATTTGTTATAGATAGTGAAATACATAAATATGGAATGGGGAGGGAGCAAGCATAAACTATCTACTGATAAATTCAGTACTGTGCATGGATCTTTAAATTTTAACATCTCCTCTCTGGTGTGGCAGTGGTGTCTCCTTTAAACAGGTGAGCAAACAGGTGAGGGTAAGAAGGGTAGGTAATTTGTCCAAATTATACGTATACTTGGTAAATAGCAAAATGGAAGTGGGACCTCAGGTGCAATTTGGCAGTGCTGCCACACTTTAATGTACATGTGAATCATGTGGAGAGCTTATTAAAATGTAGGTCTGAGTTGGTGGTGGGGCCTGAGGTACAGTATTTCTAAACAGTTCTTAGGCAATATCAATTCTGATAATACACTCTGAGTAGCAGTGTCGTGGCTAAAAATGAGTCCTTTGGATCCAGACAGACTTAGGTTTGTATTCTGCTCTGCCACTTACTATGGGGCCTTGGGTAGGCTCTTTATACATTTTCCTGTTTTTAAAGTGGGGATAATAGTATCTATCTCTTATTTAGGAACGCTTGAAAAATGCTTGGTACAGTTGCTGATACATAGTCATGTGGTGAATACTATAGTTATTTTAGGATCTAAGCTCCACAATAGGATCTAAGCTCCACAATAGGAGTTTCTCACTGTCTCCTCAGTGCCCAGAACAGATTGGTAGATATTCAGTAAATCTTTGTCATATATATGAATATCACACAACAATTTTTGTGCAGTTATAGTCTATGAGCTATATAGGTTGGGCAAAGCTCTGTTAATTTGATATCCTGGGATTTTTAGCTTTACATCTAAAGTTCTGTTTTACCAGAGTCATGTGCCATACCTCCTCTTCTACTAGGGACTTTGGTTTATGTTTATCTGTGTAGGAACTACTTGTGAATATTTATTTACTGCTTTGATTTGGTTTGGCAGAAGTCTGGGACAGACACCATTCCAAGTTTTTGCATTTGATTTTGTGTTTTGATTTCTCATTAAAAAACAAATTCTAGGGGAAAATGTAGCCAAGATATACAAAGATCTTCAGAAGATCTCCCGCCTGTTCAAAGACCAACTGGTGTATCCTCTTCTGGCTTTTACCCGACAAGGTGAGAGATGATAAATTGTCACAGGTCAAATGGCTGGAAAGAATAGTAAATGTACTTAGTATGCTTGGTGACTCTCTGACATCTGAATTTCTTTTTTTCTTCTCCTCCAAAACTGTGCTCTTTTAAGACTAAGCTTAAATATTAATTCATTAGATGTTATTCACTTTCTCTTTATATTGCCATAGCATTTTGTACATGTCTTTAGTATAGTCTTTTTCCAGTGTGTCATCATTGTTGATGTGCTTTCTTTCCACTTAAGGTTGTGAGTACCTTGCAGATAGGGGGTATGTCTTATTCACTTGTGTATTCTCATGGTCTAGCAGTGGGTCTGTCCAGTAATAGGTGTTGAATAAATAATGGATAGCTTGTAAATTGGATTTAAGTTCTTTTTTAATATTTTTGTTTTTAAACCAATATTTATTGGGAGCTCTATACCAGGTACTTTGGATGTTTCACATGTGTTCTCATTTTAATGCTAAAGACTTTAAAGTAGATTTTAATATACTCATTTTATAGACAATGAAATTGTAATTCAGTGAGGTTTGTAATTCACTCAGGATCCTTGTATTAGTCAGCTTTCTCTTATGTGTGTTGCAGTAAAAATATTTTAAAATCTCGGTGACTTAAAGTAAACATTTATTTCTCACTCATGTACATATTGTGTGTGGGTGTGCTTTGGCCAAAGGAGTGGTTTTTATCCAGGATATCCTCTTCTTGTGGTAGAAGAAGAAGAGGGCGAATGGCCCAACCATGTGTTGGTTCCCAAAGCTTTGGCTCAGAAATGATATATGTCACTTTACATTCCATTGGACAAAGCAAGTCAAAAATGGCCAAGCCTAATGGTAGTGGGGAGGGGAAGTATAATTTACAGGGTAGGAAGTGATTGAGAATCATAATACAATCTACCATTATCCTTAGCTGGTAAATAGTTTCAGATTATACAGACAGAAAGTTTTTGGTTTCAAGTGTCAGGGTGCCATGCTATTACTGCCATAGTTTTCCTCTTTAGTTAGTGGTGAGGGAAGGGGAATAGTGTGAGTTAAAAAACCCTTAGATTGGGCCGGCTGGCCGGTGCGCCGCTTGGGAGTGCGGCGGCGCTCCCGCTGAGGGTTCGGATCCCATATGGAGACCAGTTCCCACTCACTGGCTGAGCGCGGTGCAGGCGCAACACCAAGGGTTGCGATCCCGTTGCCGGTCCCCGGTACGGGCGCGACACGGAGGGTTGCGATCCCGTTACTGGTCAGTAAAAAAAAAAAGACGAAAAGGAAAAAAAAAAACCCTTAGATATGTCTTTGATTTTGATATCTTCGCTAGTGGAGAAGGGTATTACAAATATTCCAAAGGAGCTAATAATCAAAAAATAATTTTCATTTAACTTTGGAACATGTTGTTCTTATTTTATTTCTTGGCTTTTCTTCTAAATGTGTCTTCCTTTTCTTTAGCTTGCTACATATCCACTAATGGTTCTGCCCATACTTGAGTGCTTATGAAATGCCAAACATTGTTCTGAGCACTTTATGTATATTAACATTTAATTCTCACAGTAACTCAGTGAGGTAGGAGATATGTAATATTATTAATTCATTTTACAGATGAGGAAATTGAGTTTAACTTGTCTAAAGGCACATAGCTAATAAGTGACAGTTTCGGAACTAGTGATAAAAGGCAGTGAATTTTCCATTTTCTGTAGTTGAATAGAGAAATCTTGTTGCACTGAATATTGGTTGAGACAAAAGAGACTATTGGCTAGTATTTAGCAAGTGTCATAGTTATTTATTTGGTCTGTATTAAAGAGGATTTGTTTTTCTACTAAAACATGAAGGAAATAAGAGGCCTATGGTTATGTGAGTTAGGATATCCTGGATAAAGAACACTCTTCAACCAAAGCACACCCACACACAACATTTTAACTTGGGGTTAAGAATTTGTTGTAGTTAATGTATGCTTGGATAATTGACATCTAATTTGTTACCTCTTCACAAAGCAATAAGTAGCAACTTTTGTTGACTATGTAAGGAAAAGCTGGATGCTCTTTACTCAAAAATACCTGTTATTTCTCTTTTTTCCTTTTAGCACTGAACCTACCAGATGTATTTGGGTTGGTAGTCCTCCCGTTGGAGCTGAAATTACGGATCTTCCGACTTTTGGATGTTCGTTCTGTCCTGTCTTTGTCTGCAGTTTGTCATGACCTCTTTATTGCTTCAAATGACCCACTCTTGTGGAGGTGTTTATACCTGCGAGATTTTCGAGGTGATTTCCATAATGACATGTTAACAAGAAAAGGGTTCTTTCTTACTACAGTTTTAATTAGCTTGCCAAAAGTTTTTAGTTGTAGGCTTTTTTTTTAGATTTCAAGTGATCATAATGAATAGCCTTAGAGTAAAGAGACTCGAAGCTTCATATAGCTTTGCCTGTGTGCTGAAACCTCTCCCCATTCATTTTTGTGTTCTTTCTAACACAAATGGCCTTTTAGCCTAAGTAGATTATTTTAGGATAAAAAAATTGCAGTAAGACAGGATTATTACGTCTCTAAATACCATCTTCGTTATCTGACTTAGAAATGAGTTACACTTCTAACCTACTTCCATGATTGAGACCAGTGCATAATTTAAGAGTCTTGTTCACCTGTGCCATGTTGCTTGGGCAGCTTTATTTCTGTATGGTCACACTATGGTGACCTGTTGATCGTTGAGGCAGTGATGACAGTAGAACTTGTACATCTGTATTTCCAGGTACAAGGTCAAAAGCCTGACTGTGGAACTTGTGTTCTGCCACCACCATTTTACTTCATGCCAGTGTTTTTCAAACTGTTGTTCGATCCCAGCATAGGTCATGAGATGGATTTAATGTGTCATTTTACAGGAAAATAAACCACAATAGAAAAATCAATATTTATTTTATAAACTATGTCTCTATTTATAAAATAGGAGTAAACTTCCATTTAGTTATGTATATGTAGATGTATACTGTGTTACAATGTAAAATATTTATGTGGTTCAGGTAAAAAAAATTCAAGTGATAATGCTATATACAATGTTTACATACCACCTCAGCAACTGTAAAAATGTGGTGGGCAGATTCTCCACCCTTTTTAAAAAATAGAATATCATGTAGATTCATTTGGATGGTTAAAAAATTTGTTTTTCTTTTAAAACTTCAAATGTAGTAGGTGTAACTGACCTGGTTTGTTCTTTTTTCTTTCCTTTTTTTTTTTTTATTCCTAAGGTCTTCATTCTACTATCTCATTTCTAGATTGTGGTCAACAAGCTCATTTATAAGCTGAGTGTTCAGATTTTATAGTGAAATTTTCTACAGATACAATGTTATGGAGTTAGAGCTGTTGTAAATCTTACTTTCAAGCTAATGTAATAACTTGTAGAAAAGGCACCACAATCTTTTATCCAAACTCTTCATTAGACTTAAAGTTGAACAGGTTCCTCTTTCCTCATTTTACATATTTCAAATAAATAAGTATATTTAAAAAATACTTAATCATGGTCATACTTACGATAGTTGAATCATTCAGAACATGGTTGGGAGAAAATAATCTAACCCGAATGCAGAGGAAAGCCTGAGTCAGCCTGCCCTCCAGTAATGAACGTGGGCTGTAACAGATATTCAGAGGTTATCACCCCGTTTGATGTAACATTAGACATGGAGTTAGAAGCAGCTGACAAGCCAGTTGAGATTAGGGGGAGAAGATGTAGTGTGGGACCAGGTAATGCAGGGAGAAAGCAGCCACATGGTTCCATTGTCACTGAGGGATCACTATGTTGAACTACCACGTAGCACAGAACAGTGATGATCACCCTTAATCATCAAAATGGATTTGAGTTAGATTCAAGAAAGTGTAAGTGGGAGCTGATTGATTGATTGACTCAATTGGTTAGAGGGCAGTGTTGTAACACAAAGGTCAAGGATCCAGACCCCTGTACTGGCCAGCGGCCAAAAAAACAAAAATTCAAATGACATAGTGTGTGATATACAAATGATTTATGTTCCTCTTTATGCTTAATGATTAAGTTTTAGTTTCTTTAGGAAATGAGTAAGTTTCAGTTTCTTTAGGACAAAAACAATCTTGCTGTTTAATGCTGGATGAATGAAGTGTTTTCAAATCCTTATTTTTTGTCTTTTCTTTGTAGACAGTACTGTGAGAGTTGGAGACACAGACTGGAAAGAAGTAGGTATTTTGAAAAATCAAGGGTAACATTCATAACACAGAAATAACTAGTGAATTAATATATTAAGGACATATTTTCATTTTTATGATGATGTAATGAAATCTGTTTTCATTAAATTTATGTTGCTAAGTTTCAGTAAATGATAATGTTTTCAACTTTTACCACAGACTTAAACCTTACTTTCTTGTAAGTACTCAGGAAAAAATCTTAACACAATAATGTTTTCATCTTTACTTAATGTAAAACATTCTTATTTTTCTTTTGTTGTAAAAAAATTTTAAGTGAGTTGTCCTTGTGCTGGAGTAGTCTTCAGCTGATTAGAATAGTACATTATAAAAAGAATAAATTATGTCGTTTTATTTGCAGATGACTACTATTAAAAGACATTGATAGGACTGAGAAAAACTCCTTGGGACAAAGGACTAGAAAAGACTTTGAACGAAAGTGTTCACATATGTACAAAATACACATATATTCTTAGGAATGTGTCCCATCCTCTAAAATAGGCATCTATTTTTTGTTTGAAATTGAGATCCATTAGGGACATAATGTAGGTGAAAAAATGAATTTAAGTGCTGCCTTCCTCCCTCTCCTCTCCCCCCCAGTACCTTGTGGCATGATGTTTTCAACAAATATTTAAATTTTCCACTTTCGGAAAAGGCTGACTTAAAATTGCATACCAGCTTGGGAGCTCTAGATTGCAGTCTTGAAAGTACACGTCACTCAGTTATCCCTCCTTTGGAGTTACTGTTACTTCAGATTAGCACAGCTCAGCTGCAATATGGTTAAAGAATAGAGTTCACTTGGCACTGCATTTGGAGCTCCTGCCTTATTCATGCAGACTCAAACTGTCAAAGTTCTCTTCTGTGCACTGCTTTTTTGTCTGTGTAGAATGTGTGGGAAAAGAAAAGTACAGATAAATCTATACAATGAAAGCAAATTAGAACTTTAGGGAAAGATCCAAATCGCTTACCATATCTTGTTCTTTTTTCCTACAGCTGTACAGGAAGAGGCACAAACAAAGAAAAGAAGCCCAGAGAGGGCGGCATATGATGTTCCTGCCGTCCTCACCCCATCCCATTCCGTTTTATCCTGACCCCTTGCACTCGAGGCCCTTTCCTCCAAGCTCTCTCCTTCCTCCAGGAATTATTGGGGGTGAATATGATGAAAGACCAACACTTCCCTATGTTGGGGACCCAATCAATTCACTCATCCCTGGGCCCGGGGGGACACCCAGCCAGTTCCCTCCACTTAGACCACGTTTTGATCCAATTGGCCCATTTCCAGGACCTAACCCCATCTTGCCAGGGCGAGGTGGCCCCAGTGACAGATTTCCCTTCAGACCCAGCAGGGGTCGGCCGACTGACAACCGGCTGCCATTCATGTGATTTGTAATCTCACTTCTGAAGCTCGATTTGTTTTTGATTTTTTTGTTTAGAACTACAGAGATCATCTGGGAGTGCTGAGCTGTAGTGTTATTTTCTGATTGTAGTGGTGATAATTGCACTCCCAGAAGCTGTTCAGTAGGTACATTTACAGCTCTAGGGGTGGTATGGCCCAAAGGTTACTCTGTGATAAGATTGGTCTTGGCAGTAGTTGGCTACTGATTTCCCTGCTGTGGCTTCCCCTCTAGAATGAAGGTTGCTTACTGATAATGCTCTGCACCTGATTAAAAAAAGGTGTAAAATTACATGACAGTCTTGACTTTTATTACAGAAAGATATTAAATATTCAGAACAGATTTACAGTGTTACTTAGATTATCAGAGAACTTATTAAGTGTAGGTAGATTATTAATTATTGCAGGAGGTTTCTTTTTGTTTTTTTTTAGTGCTACTCTTTCTTCAAATGGAAGTACAATTTATAGAATGAATAAAAGCAGAGCTAGTTTGGTTGAACTGAACTCGGAGTGGGTGCCTTGGACACGCACCGGCTCAACCACCCCCTCAACCACCTCCTCCCTCTGCAGCTTTTTCTCAGGTTTCTTGGTGGAACTTCCTGGGCTCTGAAGCAGCACTGTTTGAAGACCATTGAGTTATAGGGAATCTTATTTCTGGCACCTTCTTGGGTGAGGTTGTTATGATTTTTTTTCCTTGTGTTTTGAACACTTAGCGCCTAGTTTGTAATCTAAGCAGATGACATCTTTTTTTATTTTATTTTTTCCAAAAAGATGACTGGTAAGGGGATCTTAACTCTTGGCTTGGTGTTGTCAGCACCACGCTCTCCCAAGTGAGCTAACCGGCCTGCAACTGACATCTTTTAACAGAGTTTTACTGTTTTGAGTGCTGGTCAGGTACTTGTTCTTTAAAGATAGCTTCCTCTTATTTGAAGAACATTGTGTTTTTAAGACTTAAAATACACAAAATTCAAGATTTATTTTTCCTACAAGAAAAAGGGCAGACACAAATGACTTATCATACAAACAACTACAGAAACATGCTATCATGACAGAAATTAAAATATGACTCATAACACAGGAATAAAACACTTAGCATCTGCAGAAAATATTTAGGAATATTACCAATGTCTTCCTGGTTTTTAAAAAATCTGTTTTGCATATAAGGAAATTGCTTGGAATGTTACATGCTGCAAGAATATTTTGAGTCCTACGTACAAGTGAAAATATATATTTTTTGCTACACATGTATATTGAGTCTTCTTTTTCCATCACAGTGAAGAAAGTTCAGTCGGTAATATGATTTTTTAGATGCCATGCTATGTAAAGGATTGGGGCTATTGAATATTTTGTGAATATTTTGTGATATCTGAGCTACAGGACAGCCTTTTTAAAACAGGTGTTCACTAGATGCCATATGGCATTAATTGGGTTTGGCTAAAAGGGTCACTCTGAAGCTTTGATGGATCTAAACATATTCTGATTCTCCAATAGACTTCTTCATGTCCTTGTAGTGTTGGGTTGCATTATGTGATGTGTACATGTAGTGGGTATGGGAGGATGTAGTGATGACCAGAAGCACCAAATATTATAAAACAAAGAGTGTTCAGAATGCAGTCACTTTCGAATGGTCCTTGTGAGGTCCATGAATGGTGCTGGTGTCTGTGGATACAAGTGCTATATTCCAACCTCACCTTAGATTTACTGGCAGATGTTACAGGTCACTTATTTAGGATATTGGCAATGTGCCTTAAATCTAATGCAGACCTCTCACAATAGTTTTTATAAATGCTTAAAACAATCCTCAAAGTTTTTCCTCTTGAATAGCTAAATTTATAATTAGAAGCTTATAAAATCCTACATTCTTGTCTTTAGACTGAGACTGCTGAGCTTTATGTATTGCTGCTGTATAATGAGAGCGAGATTATGGTTTGGCATGATTTTCTATATCACCTTGATGTGTTGTAATGGAAGCAAGGTAGTTCAGAACGCCATGGCAAACATTTTAGTAAGGTACAATTCTACATCATTGCCTTGTAGCCTTAGAGACTTTCTATGACTCCTTATTTTCCCCTTTAGATATTTTTAACAAAAGGAGCTTGCACTCCCCCCCCACTCCCCCACACTCCCAGTTTATAAATGAGAGATACCAGTTTGGCATGGCTGGTAATCAAACCATGGGAGGTATCCTCTCTTTCCAACTTAAGATTTTGTGCAAAAATTCTGTCCTCTCTGACACTTGCTTGGCTCTTTGCAATTCCTTAGACCACTGCTTAGCTTAATATCTCTATAATTCTTTCTTACGCTGATGGAGATGGACATTCCTTCCTTCACTCCCTAAACTTTGGGGCACAGCACCAAGGCTTGCCTTTCTCCTACCCTGGGCAGTAGCTACCTAATTATAGAGCCTCAGAGATGAGCTGGGCAGGTCCCAGTTCTCTGCTATGCCATAAGCGTGGGTAATGCTCCTTTGGATAGTCTCCAGTTGACTGTAGAAGATCTGGAGTGGATAATATCGGGAAGTATTAGGTAAGTCACATAAAATAAAGATTTAATTTTAACTGACTATTAAATGTCTCCTGGGATTCCCCAATAGGTTATAGCAGTTAGTTCCTGCTATTCCATAACAAAACAGATAAAAATGTTGAGTGACAAAGAAATATTAACTTGCTTCTGTTTTAGACTCAATGAAAGACCGTGGAGAACAGACACTTAAAATATGAGAGTTTGGAAACTGAAATTAAGATTAGGAGGACCAATCAGTATAAAAATAATGAAAGGTATTTAGGATTTTAAAGGATTAAAATGCACGTACATACACACGTTATAGAAGGAATGTTTAGTTTTAGATTGGTACCCCTTAAAGGAATGCTTCACTAATTCTAAAAATATTTCACAGCCATTTTTGTCTTTTCCTTTTGGCTTGCCTTTTGAGGTCTGAGTACAAGGTCTAGATGTCCACGTCTCAACTCTTTCAGCTGTGTGTTTTGTATGTGGAAGCACAAGGGAGCCTCTGTGTCCTTTAGGCATTGTTTGATAAATGGACCAATTTGAGTTGCTTGTCTCTCAATCTTCCAATTTGTTTCCAACCAAACCAAAAGTGCCGGCTTCTATTAGAGTCTAAGTATTAGACCGAAACCCTTAATTTAATCAGTGACTACTTAGAAATCTAGGACAGCTTTTGACACTTGTCATTGTGGTTTAATAACCAGCCAGCTTGCCCTCTATTATAAAGAACATAAGATACATGTGAAAGTGCTGTTAGGCAATGGGCTATTTCTCTAGGGTAATTGTTACCACGTGTATCTACAGCACTGACTTAATAGTTTAACTCTTGACTCTAACCTGCATCCTTTCACCAAGTCTAAACATGTAAAACAGAATGAGCCACTAAGGCATTTTATGAAGTTGGATAAAGCACAAGAGATTAGTCTGCTCTCTGGCAATGGGAGAGCAGGGTCCTGAAAGAACAGTGTGTGCCTGTGGGGTGGTTTGAGCTGAGGCTGTGCTGTTTGCAAAGCTCTGCCATGTTCTCTTGTGTGGTGTATGGTTTGTGTGGTTCTCAAGTAGGCCACTTCCTTCTCTTGGTCCTGGGCCTTTGCTGTAAAGGTTTGGTAGTGCCCTGGTCTGCTCGCTACAGCCAATGTCAACACTCCCTGTCTCCCAGCCGTGGCAGCCTTGCAGTCACCCTACCTTCACATGGACCCGAGGAGCGTGCTCACCAGGGAGCAGTCTCATGTCCTCATGCTGCTTGCTCCCAGTCCTTTTCAGATTCAGTTTAGAAGAGGTCAATTTAGGTTAAAAGACTGCCATTATTTTCTTCAGTTTCTTTTCTCAATTACCACATTTTACTAATATCTCTGTTGGTTTGGTTCTGTTCCTCGGTGGGTGATGTCCTTAATTAATACTCTTAGAAAAACAGCCTTTTACTTTAGTCTTAGTACCTTGTTTACATTTTATTAATTTCATCGTTTTCTAGGAGGGCCAACCTGTAATATGTCCTGCACACCTACTGTGTGCTGAGCAGTGTGCTCTGTGCTTATTCGCATGGCTCATGCACCAAGTGTGATACCGTCACCAGCTTGCTCTCCCCTTGACTCCTTTCACAGGAAATGCAGGTGAGAATTTCCAGAAGGTAGTTGATGTTCAGTGTCATGGGGTTTGCTGCTATATTTGTTAACATGTGAGTGAAAACCCATCACCCTAAAGTTTTGGAAAGAGAGAACTAACTGCCCTGTCAGCAGGGATTGAACTTTAGGAGTGTGGTAATGAAGAGAACATAGGGAATTAATGGAAGAGAGAAAATATGTATATTCCATTGTCCTTGGAAAGGTGATTTTACATTTAACCTAAGTACAGTACCATTATCATGCTGGTAGGAGAAAGATCTGGAAGATATTTTCTCTGGCTGGTAGAGGTGTCCACTGAGGCTCTGTTTTTAAATTTCTATTCATTGTTCACAAATCAGTGGGTCTTTGTTGTGTTTCAGTTCCACCAAATCATCTTTGGAGGGGAAATACTAGCCTTTCTTTGGGTTAAAGTTGTGGAACAAAGCAAAAAACAAACCACCGTTCAGAATCTATATGTAGTGATTCCCTTTTCCCCTTCTTTTTGCTCTTTTCTATTTCAAAATGCCACAATCATTAAAGGTTAAATTTTTGGAAGGAACATGTGCTAGCCTGCATGAGTAAATAGTCTATTTTTGGGATCTGTGGTCTCCACAAAACCTATACATTCTTGTTGTCTATACTCATACACAGACCAATGGGGAAATTATTCTAATGTGTTCGTTATAAGCTAGTGCTATATCATGGATCTAGATATATCTGTACACATTTATAAAAATCAGGTTGCCTGGCCTGATTTGGAGTTTGAGAGGAATTTGTATTACTGTAGTTAGAGTATCTGGGAGATACTATTTGAGTGCTGAGATGTTTCTAGAGACAAGGGACAGAATATAGGACAGTGGGAGAATTTAGGTCATGTGATCATTGTTTATGGAGCCACTAGTTTTGCTCACCAAAGGAGCGGGTCCCTAGCTGTACTGGTGACTGCAACGCGTCTATACTGTTTTTCATACAGTGGCTTTCCCACACAGCTCAGCTCAGGGCTGCTGTCCAACTTCAGTATGCATTCAAAACACTTGGGGAGATTGACAAAGATGCAGGTTCTGGGCCCTATGACCAGAAATCCTGACTCCTTTGGTCTGAAATGAAGCTTCATCTGCCTTTGTGACTAGCTCTGAACTTGGCCATGGCCCACATTTGAGAAACTTCATCCATGCTATTACCACTTAGTTGTATTTTTGAGCTGTGTTTTATTACTAAGTGAGAATTGCGTGAGATTGTTGTGGAAGAGTGACCATTGCCACAGTTATTTTCCTGTGTTCTTAATCTCCTAAAACATGTGGACTTTGTGGTGCTACACCCAGCCCTACAAGTTCTCTCACCTTTTTACTCAGAATATAGCACAGCATTATTTCCTTGAAAGATCTACCCTTGAGTAATGGGAATATTTTTTTGAAGTGGTAGAAACCAAACTTCAAATCCTATAACTTTCTGTGCTTGAATTTTACATTTAGCTCCTAGGGACAGAGTCCCCAGGTCCTTTTACTGGGGCAACTGCAACTGCCATTGTCAGGAGAGAAGGGAGGGGCCCAGGAACCTTCAGGTTGGTGAAGCTGGTACTTTTGTTCCCTCAATATGTGACTTGTACTAGTGACCCCTGGCTTCTCAGGGTCAGGTGGGGAAGCAGGTCTTCAGAGACCCCCTAGAGAGAGAACTATGAACTGAAAATTAGGTGATTAGATTTTAAGATGTACACTTGTCGATTCCCAGTGTTTATCTGGGCATAGAGAGAGAGAGAGAGAGAGAGAGAGAGAGAGAGAGAGAGAGTGTGTGTGTGTGTGTGTGTGTGTGTGTGTGTGTGTGTGTAGAATCCTTGCCTGGGGTGTCTAATCACCAAACAATACTTACACTCTCTTCTCTTAAATTTCTTTTAACAGAATAGCTTTAAAAGGTATCTGCATTTGGGCCGGCCCGGTGGCGCACTGGATAAGTGCACCGCTTGGGAAGTGTGGCGGCGCTCCCGCCCGAGGGGTCGGATCCCACATACAGACCGGTTCCCGCTCACTGGCTGAGCGAGGCACGGGAGCAACACCGAGGGTTGCGGTCCCGTTGCCGGTCCCTGGTCCGGTACGGGGGCAACACTGAGGGTTGCGATCCGTTGCCGGACACGGAAAAAGACAAAAAGACAAAAAAAAAAAAAGGTATCTGCATTTGGGCCGGCCCGGTGGCGCACTGGATAAGTGCACCGCTTGAGAAGTGTGGCGGCGCTCCCGCCCGAGGGGTCGGATCCCACATACAGACCGGTTCCCGCTCACTGGCTGAGCGAGGCACGGGAGCAACACCGAGGGTTGCGGTCCCGTTGCCGGTCCCTGGTCCGGTACGGGGGCAACACTGAGGGTTGCGATCCGTTGCCGGACACGGAAAAAGACAAAAAGACAAAAAAAAAAAAAAAGGTATCTGCATTTGACATTTCAAATTTCACCTCCATGTCTTCTTTCCTTCTGCCCCACCTGGCTCTCGTCAGAAGTTGCTAGTAGCAAAAGGAGGAAGAAGCAATGGTCTATGGAATTAGAAACTGTTCTGTTCCCTATGCTCAAATGAGCTCCCCAAAGTATGGCTGTGGGGGTGTTGACCCAAGGCCTCACCTCCACCCACGCTGGCCGTCTAGCAGAATGTGTTGAGCGTGATGCCCGCAAAGCAGCAGCAGCTCCACGTCTGACCATCCATGGGCCACCAGAGCTGCCTCTAGGAAGCATCAGCAGCTCCTGGCCAGCCTAGTGCTGTTGCATTGGACACGCTGAGCAAAATGGAGGGAGGAGTGTCACTGGGCAGAGTGAGCTCTAGACATGCCAGCAAGGACTGTCCCATAGGCACTGAGTCAACAGAGCACAGAGACAGAATGAGACAGAATGAGATAGAAGAGTGGTGGGTTTTGGGTACTGGAAGGAGTACCAGGCCCTCACCAGTTCACCCCTCACTTCATACAATGGCCATTTTATTTGCTGATGATATTGGTCAATGCCAGTCAGGCTTAAGCCCACCAGTCTCCAGCCCAGATTATGACTCCCAATGGTTACTGGTAACTGGACCTATCTGATATTTCTTATGCCAGGGCTGCTACTTATTACTGAATCCAAGACCAGCGGTCCTGAATAAGAGGAGAGAGAGGATTTCTGAAGTAGCCCGAGCTTTCTTGCTCTTACTACTGACCTGATCATGAGGGAGAGAAGAGGAGGACAAGGTAGAAGAAGATGACCCTGAGGGCCAAGTGGCTGTCTGACATCCAGGCACAAGGCTGGTACTTTTGATACTGAGCCAATCTCCAGCCAATAGCCTGTTGAAAGCTAGCTAGAAGGTGGGATCTTCTAAGGTCAAGGGCTCTACATGACCCAGTGCACAGAGGGAGAGGGTCTCTGGCCTTGTCCTCACCACTCCAGTCTGGCTTTAGAGGACCAAAAAGGTGGTGACTGCTTTTAGCTCTGGGAACCTGGACAGATCTCAGCTAGTTACCAAGCAGTATCATTTGGGCATAACTAGAAGCTGCTCCAGGCCAAGGACACTTTTAGTTTTTACCTCCCTCTCTGCCTTTTCTGTCAACAGTGAGGAGAAGACATATCTCAAGTTTCAAAGTGGGCTGTAAGGAGATAATATGGCTATGTTCTAATATCCTGGGCTCTTTTCGGGACCAGGAGGCTGCTTCTGGCACCTACAATGTTTCTAGCACCAAGTGCTTGGTGATTTGGGACACTCTTAAACTCCATCCACCCATGGGAGGCAGTCTAGGCTTTCTAGAGGAAAGAGCACAGGGAAGGGAGTAAAGACAACTTTTTCCAGCTCTGTAGTTAACTTGTTTAGTAAATTTGGGTTAAAGTTAAAGCCGATTTATTTCCTGCAGGAATTACAAAACCTTTGACATGTATACTATGCATCTCCAGAAAAGAAATATTAAGTGTTTCCTAAACATATTTGACAGTGGGATCCTTTTGAAGTTGAGTAACCTACCAATGCCTTGCTATACAGTTGTGAAATGCTGTATGAGAAGCTTCTATCATTGTGCTTTCTGATCCTGTATCATTGACCTGTTGATTCTGTCTGGTTCCTGATATATCCTTGCGAAAGAAACAACATTCCTGATGGCAGGTCAGAGAGAACAAACTGTGGTGTAACACAGAATGGGTGCAGAAGCAGCCTCTTTCTCCTCTGGGAACCAGTAATGATTCCTGCGAGAACCGGTGGTCTCTTCTCACTGTCCAATTAAGGATAACGCTTTGGGCATGAATTGCATTACAAGGGTTTCCCCTCTGTTTCTGTGGTGTTCTCAAAAGTCCCAGTCGTCACACTAGGACTGGTTTCTTTCCATTGTCCTTAAGATCCCACTGGTGGCCAGATGTGATGGGGCCTTTGCCTGGCTGGTCTGAGAGGAGGTCTAGAGCGTGGATGGAAACTAGCTTGGGTAGGTGGTAAGTTTCCCTGGCTGGGCTTTTCTCTTGTTTACGAAACACCATTAAAAGATTATTGCCTCCTATGTTGATGAGGTCTGATTACAGTGTCTGCATTTGATGGAGGCGGGGCAAAGCCGAGAGGGAGCCTCTGCTCAAAGACAAGCAAAATGCTGACAAGAAATATGAAAACAGCCTCACCCCGACATCTCATTTGGTTATCTGAGGCAGGGAGCAAGTATGTGGGTGGGCAAAGTGATGGGATGCCCATTTTCAAGGCCCTTTGTGAAAAACCGGGAGGATCTCAAAGGCCTAGCACTCAGTCAGACAACGTTGGAATGTCATGGAAAAGGAAAATGGGAACACAGAGATAATCAGTTCCTGGATCAAAGGCATTTAGAAAGTATGTTCTCAGGCCTGCCATTCTGTTTCCATCAGGAACCAAGGCCGAGATGGAAGATGAGGCAGGAGAGGGGCGAGTGTAACAGAGCACTCCTCCCCGGCCCATGTAGGGTTAGTCAGAGAACAGGCTGGCGAAGGACTTCCTCAGGTTGCGGATGGTTTCGGCCTTGGCCTCGTCTTCACTTGGGGTCCCACGCTGGGAGGTGTCAGATGTGCTGAGGCTGTTAGTCAGGGACTGAGATTTGCTGAAACAGAAAAGCAAGGGAGTTGGGAGACAAGGCCAGGTCTCCCTGAGAAATGGGTCTCGGGCTTGCCTGGAAGCCAGATGGGTGAGTCTGATCATCCCAACCATAGGAAGACCAGAAACCAGGCATTCCAGTGCTGGTGTGGTGGTAGGTACATTACGCACATAATTCAATCTGCAAGGTGGTTATTGTTATCCTCATTTTTTTAGATATAGAAATTGGGGCTTGTGGAGTCAAGTAATGGGGGACCACCCCAAGCTCACATTCTTTCCACTACACCAGGCTGTCCAGGCAGCAGGCTTCATTAGAGAGTATCTTGACCACTGTCCTGCCTGTGTGTACAAACCTGCTTTGTAAACTCATGTGCTGTATCAACATCAGGTTACAGTTACTCCCACTATACTATCCAGCCGTAGTTTGGGAATCAGAAGGCCTGTGCTCTAGACTCCTCCCTGTCATTTGATGTTAAGGCCTTGGGCAAGTAACTTGCCTTCTCAGGGCCTCCTTTACCTCATCTGTAAAAGACCCTTAGGCCTCTTCTAGCTCTGACATTCTGAGCTTCAATTCCTACCTCTTCCCTAAATCCTCTATTGCCAGTCCCCTCCCTGCCCCCTCCTCCCCATTTTGGAATTCTCATGGTGCCAGATGTTTGGACCACAGTGTACCATTTTCTGAGTGCTTCACAAGGGCCCACCTGTGGCAGCTACTTGCTGAGCACTTCCTTTGTGCCAGGCCTAGTGCTAGGTGATGGGGTGTAGAGATGGAAACAATTCAGGCCCTGCCCTCAAGAGGCTCCCAGTCTAGCAGAGCTGACAGACATAGGAAGGGATGATTTAAACAAGTCACAAGTTTAAGAGATCTGCACATGGTCTGGCCATCATAGTAAAAGAGACTATACAGTGGAGTACTATACAGCTGTGGAAAAGGAGAAAATTTCAATGAACCGGGTAAAGAAGAGCTCCAGGATTTATTGTTAAACATAAAAAGAAAGGAGAAGAATGGTGAGGATAGTGATTACTACCATTTATGTAAGGAAGTGGGGGAGGGGATCAGAAGGTGTATTTTTATATTTATACAAGGAAACACTGGAAAGATACACAAGGAAGTATTAAAAGTGGTCATCTTTAGGGAACGGGGAGCAAAGCATAGGATAGGAATGGTGTGGGAATGAGGCTTTTCAATGTAGATCTTTGATATTGTTGGTATCTTTTAGATCTTTGAACCAAATGAATATATTACTTATTCAAGAAAATCATAATTAGCTTGATCCCTAGACTGGATGTCTTGTGTTCAATCCCAGCTCTTCTACTTACTAAGAGTGGAAACTTTGGCAAGTTACTTAATCTTTCTCTGTTTATTCATCTGTACAATGGGGATAATAACAGTTATGCCTAAGCTTATCAGAACTTAAAAAAAAACCCAACTAGGTAAAGGGCTTGGTACATAGTAAGTAGACAATAGATGTCAGCTGTGAAACTATGATTATCAATATTAGTGTCTGGAGATGAGGGAAGATAGGAGCTTCCTGAAGAAAACACATTTGGGATCTCTCTTTCTGACCTCAAATCAGGAGGTGGACCTCAGAGGAAACAGGATGCGTATGTGTATTGTGATAGATTGTTTACACAAATAACCACAGCAATTCCTCCTGTCCTGAAGTCTACCCTTTTGCAATGTGACTTTGTGGCACCTCTCATCAAGAGTCTATTTTCCCACCTCTTGAATGTGGGCTTGGCCATGTGACTTGCTTTGATGAAAAGTATGTGATGAAATAACACTGTGCAGCTTCCAAGGCTAGGCCTCAAGAAGCCTTGAAACTTCTACTTTTGCCCTTTAGGAAAGCAGTTCTACCAAGTGAGAAAGCTTGACTTAGCCTTGGGGGGGATGAGACCCCATGGAAAGAGAGGCCCAGCTGACAGCCAGTACCAACAACCAGACGTGTGCGTGAGGCCCTCTTGGGCATCCAGTCCCAGTGAAGCTGACTGCAGCCATGTGAGTGATCCCAGGAGAGTAGGGTTGCCAGATTTAGCAAATAAAAATATAGCACCCAGTTAAATTTGAATTTCATATGAAAAACAAATATATTTTTTTTGTGTAAGTGTATCCTATGCAATATTTGGGGGCATACTTATACTCAAAATCATCCATTGATTATCTGAAATTTATATCTGAGCAGCCTATATTTTATCTGGCAACTCTGCAGGAGAACCTTTCGGCTGAGCTAAACTCAGAATAAACTGCTGAGCCGAAAAATTATGAACAAATAAATGTTTGGTTTCTTCAGCCACTAAGTTTTGGGGTGGTTTGTTATGCAATTTCATCCATCTGGGCCCTGCCCCACAAATTTCATCCTCCAGACCTGTTTCTTCCTATTTAAAGTCTAGGCGAGGCCGCATTGGGTCTTTCTCTGTCTCTGAGTTTCTGACCCTGAATCAGCCCATTTTGCCCACACCCCAACTCCACCCTCTACCCTTTCCAATTCCCAAAACACTTACTTGAGATGGGGATGGGGTGGTGCTGGCTTCTTGGACTCTTCACCCTGTTGGGAGGTGCTGCGGCCCTGCACAGGGGGCCGGGGCTGTGAGGTGATGCCCGGCTTGGAGGCCTGGTTTGGGGAGCTGCCACTGGATGCCCGGGATAGCTGAGGAGAGCCTGGAGACCTCTGCTGCTGTGGAGATCCCAACTGGGGGCTCAGGGGCTGCTGGCCTTGTGGTGAGAGCCTCTGTTGGGAGGGGCTTCCAGATCTTGGGGGCTGAGGAGGCTGAGCTTGGCGAGGGGCCCCTACAGAGCCAAAAATAAAAAGGTTAAGTTCAAATTTTTTCTTAGGAAAATATGGTCATGCACAAATAATGTTGCTTCAAGGATGTTCAGTATGGTATTTTTTATAAGAGTGAAAAGTTGAAAATAACAGATGCCTAGTCATAGGGAAGTGATTAGGAACATAAAGGTACATCTGTATAATGGAACATGCTGTGATTATTACATATAATGTGGCAGAATAATATTACATGACATAGGATATTGTTGATAATATATGCTAAATATATACTGCTAAACAAAAAAAGCGATTCATAAAACAGTACATATGATTTTATTCCATTTTTGCACATACTTGTATGTATAGAGCTATGTAAAAAAGAAAGACTGGAAGCTTGTACACTAAAACCAGTGTGTCTCCAACTTTAATGTGCATATGAATCACTGGGGGCTCTTGTCGAAATAAAGATTCTGCTACAGCAGGTCTGGGGTGGTGTTATGGGCTGAACAGTGTCTCCACTGAATTCATATGTTGAAGCCCTAAACTTCAATGTGACTGTATTTGGAGACAGGGTTTTTAAGGAAGTAATTAAGGTTAAATGAGGTCATGAGGATGGGCCTTAATCTGATAGGACTGGTGTCCTTATAAGAAGAGGAAAAGACATCAAGAGTGTGTGTGCACCTGTGCACAGAGGAGAGGCTGTGTGACACAGAGAGAAGACTGTCATCTGCAAGCCAAGAAGAAAAGCTGTACCAAAAACCAACCCTGCTGGCACCTTGATCTTGGACTTCCAGCCTCCGGAACTGTGAGAACATAAATTCTGTTTTTTAAGCCCCTTGTCTATGGTATTTTGTTATTGAGGCAGCTTGAGCAGGCTAATACGGTCTGGGTCTATGATTCTGTATTTCTAACAAATTCCCAGGGGATGCTACAATTTGCTATACATTGAGTAACAAGGCACTAAATAATGATTATGAAAGTGGTAGAATTGAGGGATTTTAGTTCTCTTCTTTTTGTTCTTTTTATTCACTGAGATTTTCCACACTGAAGATGTATTACTTTGGAAATAATGAAAAGGATTATTCCTTACTTTTTGGGTTGCTCTCTACCCTGTTCTAAGAACTTTCAGAAGCAACATATCATTCGCTTTAGAGAGGCTGGTAGGGAAGATACCATTCTCATCATGTAGAGGTGGAAACTGAGACTTATTAAGGTTTTCAAACTAGAAGGGGAGCCACATAAAGCTCACAAAGGACTTTGGCTTCTCCCCGTCAATGCAGAGCACACAGGCTTTCAAACAAAGGTGCATCAAAAGCTTTGGGACGTTTTAGCTACCCAGAAATGGCTTTGAGTGAATTCCAAGGTCCCAAGCAAGCAAGGTGCACTCTCCCCACCCTCAAATCCTGGGTTTCAGGACTGCTGATTGTGAATAGTATTGTGCCAAAGCAGACTGGCTGCTTGCTAGTCTCTTCTCCCCAGACATGTCTGCAACTGGGAGAGTGGGGATGCACCGTTTTCTTGCCATGCTCTCTTGAGAGCACTTTAGGTAGGTTAGGAGACTGAGAATTAAAAGGTGCTGGAACCTATCTCTGTAACTTTAACGAGCTTGAACTTATTTGAGCTTAACAAGTCTATTGAGCACCTATTATGTACCCAGCCTTGGGCTGGGCACCTCACAACAGTTCGGTGGGTTAGGCATTTTTATCATCCCCATTTTCATAAAGAAACTGAGTCCCAGACAACTTGCTCAAGGTATCACATCTAATAAGAGGAAGTGCCAGGGTTCAAACCTAGGTCTCTGATTCAAAAGCTCTATTTTTCCTTCCTTCCTTCCTCTCTCCCTCTCCCCGCGCCCCTCTTGACTGCCCTGAGTCCTCATACTATCTTTGTGTGAATTAGGAAAAGGTGGCTTCCTGCAGTGGAAGCAGCTCTGAGCCAGGTGCAAAGGGAGCAAGAACTAGATTTCAGGCAACTTCTGCCATCTTAGACCTCGTGTCAGCTGGGCAAATTTGCAGAGGATGTGATTTGTATGTCTGGTGGCCTTGATGCCACACTGGCACCAGGAGCCCCAGATCCTGACTCAAGTCTTGCTATTAACGTGCTGTATGACTGTGGGCAAGTCACTTCTCCTCTCTGGGCTTCTGGGCCTTGTTTGTAAAATGAGGTTGTTGGATTATATGCCAAACATCCCTCCCTATTTGAACATTTTTGTGAGCCTGTGGAACACTTTCTAAGCTGGATTCAGTCTCAGCACTAGTTTAGCAACTGATTGCACATGGCTTTGATTCATTACCTGTTTTATGGCTGTATGTCCCAGTGGATAGGAGGACCCATTGATCTCAAACTCAAGCACCTACAGGGCCAGGCAGGTATGTGAATAAACGAAGCAGCCATGTGTAAGAAAAATAATGTGGCTTTAAACTTTTTTTCCACTTGAGATAAAAGCATAGTTTATAGAACTATTTCTCTAAAGAAGTGCAAGCATAAAGAAAATAGCAATTGGCACTCTCTGCTCTCTGTCATCAAGAGAAGCTGGAAATCTAGATGCTTAAGTAAAACCTCCTGATTTTTAAATGTTGGTAACTTTTTTTGTTTTCTAAACCTACTGCAGGTCAAATAAAACGTTTGTTTTCTACTTTTATCTTAAGTCCACCCACCTCCCCATCCCTGGGTTGATAATATCTTGGAAAATCTGGATACTCATTCAATAATTCATTAACTATTTGCTGAGTACCTATTATAACACCTGGGAGTTGTCAAGAGACACTACAGTTATTTCTTTCAGTTTCTTGGCAGAGGAAACAATTTAGTATTTTTTATTTGAACGCATACAAAAAATATTAGTTTATATATAGAAAGTATTTACCTAAGCACAGGATTGGTGCTAAAAAATGAAGTTTATTAAAAGAAAATTTCACCTTGACTGAGTTGAACAATGAATTCAAAACAAGTTAACAATGCATCCTTGTTATTTGGGGAACTCAAAGTGTTATTTTGAAACTTGCCTTGTTTTTAATCTGACTGTTAATTCACTGGGCCTTTTACTTAATTACTCTAATTGGTTTAAAACGGATTGTTTTTCAACTCACTAAAAGCATTTTTAGCCTCATGTCCCTTAAAATAATATCTTTTTATCAAGCATATTTCTGCTCTGGGCCAGAGAGGAAATCAGAATACAGTAGTTCTCTGTTTTTTTTTTTTTTTTTTTTTTTTTTTTTTTTTTTTTTT